CGAGCAAAGGAAGAAGGAATGCATGGATGTTGTATTCTATTCAAAGTCCAGGCAGAAACTGCCCAATGGACTCCTTCAAGTTGAAGCTACAGTGAGAACTTCCAATGACTAATCAAAGGATGAGTTACAACTTAATGGAATGAAACTGTAGCTTCATGAATGTTTATCTTCCAATTTAAGTGTCCTGGGTTCAAACCTTGCAAAAAATCATGATTCCTTCACACAACTTAAAAAGACCAAAAGGTCTATCCACACTGTCAAATTTCTTTGACAAATTTAAGTGATATGCCTATAACAATATAATAGGCATGACATATCAATCAATCAAATCTTTTATTTCGGAATCAAGATTGTCCATATTACAGCATAACACTATATAGAAAAAAGAATATGAAAAATTTAATTAACAATGCAAAAACTTACGACCATATCATATGAGTTTTCAGCTGAATTATAAGACAAATTTCCACCTTATAATCTGAGGTACATGAATATACATACAGGAATAATAATAGTTGGATTTGTAGAGTGCATCATGCGAAAAAGCCTCTATGCGCTTGGTGATTGAGCTTTTTGAGTTTGACATTTTGAGAAAAAAGAAAGTTGAAGTTATTTTATGAAACTAAAAAAACCTACTCTTTAAACTAAGGCATGGTTGGCCGTTGGCTCCGAGGAGTTCATCCGCACTTTGTTCAGCTGTTTTTTTTCGTGCTGCTGGGTGTCCATCCACCCTCCCATTGGCGGCCGCTAAAGACCACCAGATGGGGTTGTCGGAAGGAGGAGTTGTAGGAAAAGAAAAGAGAAGTTTAAAAATTGACAAAACTTACATTATGAGGTCCATTGTGATTACTGTAGGTGTCAAAGTATATTCCAAGCCCTATGTGATAATCTTTACTTCCAAATACTTGACCTACAAAAATAATGATAAAAAATAAGAACAAAGAAATTCAAATATTATTAATATTTATATCAATTATGCTGCAATAAGTTGGATTGTGAGAACATTAACATAGAAATTATTTCAATTATTTCTGTACTTACCTATCTGCATCCTTTCTTTTGTGTACCAGAGTGCAAAACCATCTCCATAAAGAGTTTTACCCTGACCATGAACTTTAAATTGCAAATGTATCTCCCAATTTGGAGATTCATTTGGCTAAAATGAAAGCAATAAAGAACGTTTGGGAAAATATGACATACAGTAGAACCCCTATTAAGGGGATATCTTCGGGACCAAAAATGTGTCCCCTTAATAGAGGTGTCCCCTGAATAGGTGTTAGCCATACTGTAGTGTTACTTTCCTTCATTTCGTGGCTGAAAAATGTCCCCCCTTAATAAGGGTGTCCACTTAATAGGGGTGTCTCAAAGGAGGTGCCCTACTATATTTTGATTGGCCCATAGCCTTCCAAATAAATGGTTGTGAGTTTATTTTCAATGCTAGGAACATTGTGCAAAACTTTATCATTATTATGCAATAAACAAGTTTTACTACTAATAATACTACAGTAATATAAATTGACCTCTTGCTGCGTACAATCAGGTGCATGATAGGGAGGGTATCCTATGAGATTTCCAGGAGTACCTAGACACCATGTTGGAAGAGTCTTTTGGGGGTCAAGAGTTGAAGACCATGGAGTTGAAGTTTTCTAGCAAGTAAATTGTGAATTTCATTATCCCTTTGAAGGTTTTGATACAAGGGAAGGGATAGGTTGGTTTCAGAAGTCATTCGAAAAGGGGGTTAGGCTGAGCCACACAAACACCCCCCTTGGTTACAGGCCCAATACTTAATTGTTTTGTGGACGCAGAGTTTTCAAAATAACAGATGGGTTAGGCGTGAAATTTCTAATTTCTCAAAGTTGAAAAATTTAATGTTCAAAATGGCTAAATTTTCCATCCCTTATGTCAACCCCCTTGAATCCCCCAGATAAATCACTGGTCACACAAGTACACACACACACTCACATACATCTTCTTGACTTACAACTTTGTTCCATATTGCACCTCGTTTACTCTGTCGATCAGGAGTGAGCCTTATGTAATTATTGGTTACTATTGTGCTTCCAATGAAGTCCCACATTGGCATGCTGGCTCCAGCTCCTTAAATCAATAGAAGAAAAGAGACAATATTAACAAATACATGCCAATTAAACATTTTTGCTATATTACCTACACGCATTAAACACAAGCTTTAAAAGCACACTGGACGAAGTGCTGAATGTATTTCACATTCTGAGATTCTAAACTACTGTAAGTTTATAAATTGACAGTTTAATTTTTGCAATTTTTCACAATGGTTATTCTTGCTATGTCACACAATTTCAAAAGCTTGAAATGGAATGCACTAACATACCAGACTGTACAGTAAGGCCTATGCAGGTAATATATCCTCTATGCAAAAATTTCGACAACGCCCCATTATAGAGTTATGATTATTTAAATAACATGATGTCAGAAAATCAGCCCAAACTTTATCTTTTTTCTGTTGGTTACGCACCGCTGATTTGCAATGTTTGTCATCACTTCAAGATGTCTACCAATTCGTGGAAAAGGCCTATCAACCCAGGAATTATCTATAGACAATCGGGCCCAGGACGATTTAACCCCCTAGGCCTACGCCTCCCCCAGCCAGGCCTACAGTAATGTATTATTATTTACACAAAAGTGCACGTAGGCCTACATATTACATTCATTCATGGACCATACAACCTGAAACTTTTAGAAACAACAACAATAAACTATAATAATACTTTACAATACAATATACTTTATTTGCAACTAAAAACAGTTGAATTGCACATACATAAGAAATTTAAAAATTGCCTTAAATGTTTAAAATATCAAAACGGAGACG